AGCTGGGATTACAGGTGCCCACCACCATGCTTTTTTTTTTTTTTTTTATTTTTAGTGGAGACAGGATTTCATTTTTTTTTTTTTTTTTGTCTCAAAATCCTGACCTCAGGTCATTTTTTTTTTTTTTTTTCCCAAAGAGCTGGGATTACAGGCATGTTTTTTTTTTTTTTTTTTTGAGATAGTGTCGTGCTCTGTCACTTTTTTTTTTTTTTTTTGGTGCAATCTTGGCTCCCTGCAACTTTTTTTTTTTTTTTTTAAGCGATTTTTGTGCCTCAGCCTCCCTTTTTTTTTTTTTTTTACACACGTGCCACCATGCCTGGTTAATTTTTTTTTTTTTTTTGTGTGTGTGTGTGTGTGTGTGTGTGTTTTTTTTTTTTTTTTTTGTTGCCCAGGCTGGAGTGCAGTGGTTTTTTTTTTTTTTTTTGCAACCTCCACCTCCCAGGTTCAAGCTTTTTTTTTTTTTTTTCCTCCTGAAGAGTTGGGATTATAGGCTTTTTTTTTTTTTTTTGGGGAATTTTTTGTATTTTTAGTAGATTTTTTTTTTTTTTTTGTTGGCCAGGCTGGTCTTGAACTCCTTTTTTTTTTTTTTTTTACCGCTTTGGCCTCCCAAAGCGTTGGTTTTTTTTTTTTTTTTCCTGCGGCCAGCCTCCATGTCTCTCTTTTTTTTTTTTTTTTTCTCTCTCTGTGTGTGTGTGTGTCTCTTTTTTTTTTTTTTTTTAGACTGGGGACAATCATCTCTCTCTATTTTTTTTTTTTTTTTGAGAGAGAGAGACGGAGTCTGGCTCTTTTTTTTTTTTTTTTTCAGTGGTGTGATCTTGGCTCAATGCATTTTTTTTTTTTTTTTTTCAAGTGATTCCTGTGCCTCAGCCTTTTTTTTTTTTTTTTTCATAGGTGCGCACCACCAGCCCGGCTTTTTTTTTTTTTTTTTGTAGAGACAGTTTCGCCATGTTGGCCTTTTTTTTTTTTTTTTCCTGACCTCAGGTGATCCTCTGGCCTTTTTTTTTTTTTTTTTTGGGATTACAGGCGTGAGCCACTGCGCCCGGCCAAATAAAACGTTAAAGTAAATTCAGGACTACTCCTTTTTTTTTTTTTTTTTTCCCTTTGGGCGCTCAGGTGAGCGGGTTTTTTTTTTTTTTTTTAATAACATCAAAAGAGCGCCTTTTGTTTTTTTTTTTTTTTTAGACTTCCCTGGGCCTGACTCCCGGTTTTTTTTTTTTTTTTTCGGCGGCCTCTCGAGCCCCTTCAGAATTTTTTTTTTTTTTTTCAGGACGCCTTTGCCCCGCCCCAGGTTTTTTTTTTTTTTTTTCTCCGCCTGGGTCCCGAGGGAAGGTGTTTTTTTTTTTTTTTTCAGGGCGTGGCAGGCGGGGTGTGTGTCCGCCGGGCTTGGCGCCTTCGGTGGCCCGGAGCACCGTCCCATTTTTTTTTTTTTTTTATGGGGCCGCTACCTGTGTGCCTGCCTTTTTTTTTTTTTTTTCTGCTGCCGTCGCTGCTGCTGCTGCTTTTTTTTTTTTTTTTTAGGTCCGGCGAGGGTGAGTGAGGAAGTTTTTTTTTTTTTTTTCAGGAGTTCCGGGATTCCTCCAGCCCTTTTTTTTTTTTTTTTAGCCCTGCCTCCCATCCCTCCCCAAGTTTTTTTTTTTTTTTTAGCCCCCAACTCGCTCTTCTAATGCTTTTTTTTTTTTTTTTTCCCAGCCCTCTGCAGGACCCCCCCTCTTTTTTTTTTTTTTTTCAGAACTAGCCCAACCCTTCCCCAGGGGCGCAGAGTCCTCTCCTGGCTCCCTCCGCCAACCGGCTGTGAGCCTCTCCAGCAGCCCGGAAGCCTCCCGGATGGCCTGACCTTTTTTTTTTTTTTTTTTCCTTCATTCCACCTGTCCCTGAGATTTTTTTTTTTTTTTTTTGGGAGGAGCAGGGGCAGAAAGGGCCTTTTTTTTTTTTTTTTGAAGAACAGATTGTGCCCCTGTACAATTTTTTTTTTTTTTTTACACACACACACACACACGCACACACTTTTTTTTTTTTTTTTCCCTATCTCACTATCCATCCCTTGGGTTTTTTTTTTTTTTTTCCCCTGGGTGACTGCCCATTTCTGGCTTTTTTTTTTTTTTTTACCCACAGAGGACTATGCAGACACTGCCAGCACACAGATGCGCAGGCACAGGACCGGCCCCGGACTCATTTTTTTTTTTTTTTTGCAGCTCACCGTGTGCGGCTCCGACATTTTTTTTTTTTTTTTTACCGCTAGGGGGACACACGCACACATTTTTTTTTTTTTTTTAAGACAGCACTCAGGACAATTCAGATTTTTTTTTTTTTTTTTCACACACACACACACACACACAGAGGTTTTTTTTTTTTTTTTTGCACATAGACCCTGGGGCTCACAGGTTTTTTTTTTTTTTTTGGCACTCGCCAGGGAGGTTGCACTGGTTTTTTTTTTTTTTTTGACCCCAACGTGACCTGCCCCACCTATGTTGGCACAGAGGGAGTGTTTTGCTTGGTTATAAGCACAGTTTTTTTTTTTTTTTTTATGCCTGGAACCATCCCTCTGTAGAGGTGTTGCTAGGGCTCTGAGATACCAGAGAGTGGCCAGGGAGGGTGGCAGGGGAACCTCTGGGAACAGCTTCAGGGTACAGTGTTGGGACTGGGACATTGTTAGGGGTGCTCAGGGCGGGCATGTTCTTTTTTTTTTTTTTTTTTTAGAGGTCAAGGGACCAATTCTGGTTTTTTTTTTTTTTTTAGGGCAGCTTAATTCAGAGCTCAGCCTTTTTTTTTTTTTTTTTTTTTTGAGA